TAAAAATTAAAAATATCTATAAAAGATAAAAAAGTCATGTCTCAGTTAACTTCTTCCTGTTGTCATGAGGTGCTGCTGAGCTGACCACGGCTCACAGCGACCCTACGAACAGTAGCCCTGAATCCTGCCCTATGCTGATCCATCCTCTTCATCCCTGACAAGCCAGAGTACAGTGCTCCAGCCACTGTGTCAGTCGAAGGTCTTCCTCTCCTTCACGGACCTTTCACCCTTCCAAGAATGATGTCCTTTTCCAAGGACTAGCATCTCATGACAACATGCTCAAAGTATGTGAGACAGAGTTTCACCAGCCTTCCCTCCAACGAACGCCATGGTTTTACCTTCTCCAGCACATACTTTTTTGTCCTTTGGCAATCCGTGGGATATTTAGGACTCTTCTCCAACACCTACCTCACTAGGATTGCAATAATAGCAATATGACAAACAGAGTTTGAAGAACAGAAATTTGTTTCTCACAGTGCAGGAACCAGAAGCCCAAACTGAAAGTAAGAGTCGGAGGAAGCATCAGCCCTAGGCTGCCGGGCATGCATTATTTCTACAGGAAGTGGTTCAAATCTGCCAGGTATTCTGTGGGAGAAAGATGGGCAATCTTGTCTCATTGAATTTAGTCACTGAAAACCTTCTGGAAGATGAACTATGAGTCAGTTCTGCCTCAACAACAAAAAACAAGAACAGCAACAATAAGCTTGACCCAGCAACTCCACTCCTGGGAATTTACCCTAAAGGAATCAACCACCACCCAAGCAGATATACACACACCCATGTTTATTGCGGCTTCGTTCACAATAGCAAAAAGATGGAAACAACCCAAGTGTTCATCAACAAACGAATGGCTAGAGAAGCTCTGGTCTATTCACACAATGGAATACTATGCAGCATTGAAAAACAAGGAACTCATGAAATATTATGCAAAATGGGTGACCCTTGAGGACACTATGCTTAGTGAAATATCTCGATCACAAAAGGACATTTTATTGCATAGGGCCACTGTTGCAAACCGGGACTGACATCAGGGTTGAGGGAAGACAGAAAAGGAGGGGAGGAATGATGTATACTACATTGAAACAGATCAGAGAGAGAACTGTTGAAAAGGCATATATGAATGGGTATTCTTGTCATAACAGAAGTCCAGAGTGAAGGCTGCATAGTGGAGTGGACTTGGGGGCAGAGATTGCATAACAAGAGTTTTTCTTTTTATTTTCAAGAAGAGTGAATTTGGGGGGGGGGACAGGGAGAAAAGTGCAACAATGAATGACTGGAATCCCTAAGTCTCTGTAAACTTTCATTAAAATTAATTTTTAAAAGGAGTAGGCTTTAAAAAAAATTATTACAATTCTTAACTTCTTCTTGGTCTTCCTTGGATATCTTTCAGTGGCATTTCTATTCCTTCCATTCTTCTTCATGTTCCTATATCTAATAAGCTCACCTTGTATCCCCAAAAGTGATTGCTTAAAACATTCTAAAGGGTTACTCTCAGAACTCAACTTGCAGGCAAACAATAGACAGGCCTTGAATGTGGACAGTAACACCAAGGAGAAGTTCACTTCTTAAAATGATAAAGCATAGGGAGCTCTGGTGGCTAAGTGGCAAGAAGCTGCACTGCAATCCCAGAGGCATGCGTTTCAAATTCACCAGATGCTCTGCTGGAGAAGGAGTGGCAATCTCCTCCTGAACCAGTCAGATCCAATTTGATGGTTGTTGTTGTTATGTGCCGTCGAGTTGCTTGCGACTCATAGCGACCCTATGTACAACAGCCCTAAACCCTGCTCTATCCTGTGCCAATCGCACTGTCTCTGA